GAGGCTCAATACAAAAGCGAAGAAGTCAAAAAGTGAACTGCAAAATGCAAAGAAAAATAACCTCGACAACATGAAAATGGCGGGAACGATTCACTACCTTCACTACTACTAGCGTTCATGAAACTCACAAACGCTAACGCTACCCATGCACTACCTCGGAGGCAAGAGTGTTAGTAGCGCGAGTATACTTTATGACGTCAAACGCTACCGACAATGGCTGCGTTTCGTTATTCACTGTCAGTACTGACAATATGACGTCATAAAGTAGTACTGCAGAAGCGTTTTGAAATTACTAATACTTTTATGACGTTACAACGTTGCATAATGAAACGGATTTAGTAGTACTTGGTAGGACTGTGTAGAAATAGATAATTTTTTAAATTTTGATAAAATTTGGAATTATTAATTATATTCATATCTTTGCGTGCTTTTTCTGCATCTACTTTATTCATTAATATGTGTGTGTGTCATAACTTTTTGACATTCGTTTCGACATCTAAAAAACAAATTTTTTCCTGATTTCCCATTTCGTTGAATTTCGCCATCTTTTTACTGCGATTACCTGCGACCTCGCCAGTCGCAGCAATAGAAATAGGAAGTGACGCAAAAATTTATGACGTCATATAAACGCAAAAGTATATTGAGTTTACTGCGATATATTTTGGAATGGCATGTGCAATGCTGCCAGTACTGACAGTGAATAATGAAACGCAGCCTTAGTCGTAATCGTAAGGCCGTAAGCAAATCGGCCAATCACAGTCGAGCAATCGAGCGTTTAAAAACGTGAGAGCTTAATTTTGATTGTGATTGGTCGATTTGCTTGCGACCTTACGATTCCGACTAAAATTTTTGTACGTGCGATGACCTTTAGACAGTTCGAAGAAGTCTACGGAAAGAAATTTAAATTTTAACTATTTTTGTTTTAAATTTGAGATTGTAATCGCTGTAGATGGCGTAGCATACTTTCGGGCCACGTTCTGCACCACTACCAGTGTTGAAAACCTATAGTGCGTGTAACATATGTTATAGATTTTCAGTATTGGTACTGCTGGCAGTGAATACCGGAACGTAGCTACGAATGTCACGATATTCACTAAAGAAAAAAAAAAAAACCCAAATATCGATACATCGGCCTTCAAAAATATTAGCAAAAAATAACTGATTTTTAAATAAATCGGTAAAAATCGCATATTCCTATTCCGCCTACTCGTGACGCTCGAGTTTCGCTCCGATTTACCTCGATCGGTCGCCGTCTCCCGCCTCTCTACCCCACGGAGTAGACCTACCTGTCGAATCAGCTGATTATTGTTTTCGTTCCTCTGATATGGAACAGACCGTAGTAACGGCTCAACGAAGCGTATATATATACGCCTAATCCGCGCGTCTCATCCGTTTCTGTTTCCGAGAAACCGTGAGCACCGAGTCTTTCTCCCTTCCTCTTTCTCCTTCACTCCTCCATTGTCTACGTGTGCGTGCGTGCGAGGAGGACGGGCACGGACGCGCGTGTACGTGTCGTAGTCGCTTCACGGTGCTCGCCGTGCCAGCAGCGAGAGGAAAGGACGCGAGTCGAGGGAGGAGAGCGAAGTCTCGGCGCGCGGTTGTGAAATCGCCCGACGCCCGTGCGCAGAGCTACGACGGAGGTATATCGTTCCGTCATGCTGCTGCTGCTGCTGCTGCTGCTGCTGCTCGTGGCTCCTACTTTCCCGCGGAGGGACAGAGGAAAATTATCCTACGCTACGGGGAGAGCACCCGTTCCGTCTGCGCGATTACGTGACATTGTAGTCATTGTCAATTATTACTATCGTTCGCTGGCTGTCAGTTGTTCGCGGGAAGTAGAATGACGCAGTAGACAGGAGGACAACGGCGGCGGTGACGCGCGCGCGAAGTGCAGTAGTGGACTGTCTCTCTCTCTCTTCCTTCGATAATGGAAAAATACGATCAAGTTTTATGAAGTAAGTGTTATGTTGTATTCCCCGATATCGATCGCTGATATTTGGTGTTCCCGTCGTTCTATAGTGATCTACTCTGCGCGAATGCAACGATAAAGTCACGGCCGCGATAAGCGAGGCCTTCCCTTTGTTCCTTCGATGATTGCCTCTCCATCCCCCGCCCCTTCCGTATCTCCGTGCGATCCGTCGCTTTTTTAATGTGGTTGCGTAAACGGCTCGGAGTACGTCATATTCGCGCGTCCGAATCAGTCCGTCCGTGTTTGTTTTTCAATTTGGTTTCTCTATGTTCGCGGTGGTTCGCGAGGTTCCGTTCGCTTGCACTTTTTGCACTCGGCATCTTCGATTTCTATCCTTTTAAATGCCCGAATATACATTTGTCCTATTTTAAGTGCAAACATTTTCGGGGATTTTAAATAAGAGACCTACGGTCTTGTTTACAGAGGCGACGCAACGAACGCGCCGTTCGGTCGCGATCGCCCTACCTTCCCGTTGATTGTCCCTGAACGTGCAATTCGCGCACAGCTGTGCGCTGCGTTGTGCAACGCAACGTTTCCCTCCCCCCCTTTTCACTCTACACGGCTGACAAAATAGACTCCCCCTTTCCTTCCCGCTCCGTCCCGTTCCGTCAGCCGTCGTCAACACGTCGTACCACCACTATTACGGATCGGACAGGCCGATACGCTTTCCTACTTTTCGTACGTGTTGAGCTTGTTGAATAATGCATCGCGTAACGACGACGACGTCGTCGACGATGACGGCGCTTCGTCGAACGTTACGAATTTTAACGACGACGATCGCGCGACGACGGCGTCGCGACGTACAGTAATCAAGTAATGTCCGCGAAATTGTCGAGTGAATACGAACGGTGCACTTTGGGTTCTTTGTCCTCCGCGCAACGATTATGCGAACGGCGCGCTTCACGCCCGTCGTCTCGTCACGCGAATAATCTCTCTCCTCGCTCTCTCCTACTGGTAAGTGCGTCAGGACGGGAAGGCCAGGTTTTATGTCCTATGTCATATTCAGAGCATTCTTTTACCGTCGTCGGATTGCTCCGTTTGCGATAGAGAGACGCGTATTTTTGCAGGAGTCCTTTGTCTCCTTTGTCCTTGCTTATCGATGTTGCGAACGCGCGATACCAAGCCTTTTCTTTATGTATCAATACAGCTTTTGTAAATTCTGTAGGATTATTTGATTGTTTTCAAGTTGTCGATAGAATATTGAGATAAGATTTTTAATTGCAAGTTTTATATATCTCGATATAATTGTCTTTCACACGCAAATTTCTCGTTTTTTAAAAGTGGAATCATCAACGAGATATTATAAGTGTTTATTGTGTTAAGTTTAGAATCTCTAATAGCGTTTTCGACAACTATAGTGGGTTTGCACAAACCTGGATTGAATGTATTGTTGTATGCTTTGCTATTGGTAGATCATGTAACGTCAAGCAATAGTAGAGCATTACTCCAATCCAGGTTGGTGCAAACCAGCTACAATCGAAAATAAATAAATATTTAATTTATATATAAATACTATCTTTTACTATCGTTTTGTATGCATTAACAACTTGTATATTTTATAAATATGATATACAAGCTTTTAATACATAAATTGAAAAGATAAAGCTTCTACATTCTACTCAAGATTTTACCATTTTTATAGATAAATAAACCTCTAATTTGGCAATAAAAAATGTCTGCGGAATCACCAAGGCGAGGCGTGCATAAAGGAGCTCAAATCGTTTCACCTCAGCCCATAGTAGATCGATCAATTATTGATAGTGTTGCTGGGATCATAAATGATATAGTACCACAGGTATATATAAGTTAATTAAAATTATCTCAATATTATGATCCAAGTATCTCCAAGTGTACTATATTTGTAAAATTATTCACAGGGATATGCCGGAGTATCCAATTCTGATAATAAGGAAACCATATCATGGGCGCGGTTTGAATACGCGGACATAAATGACCCTGCTTTATATCCTGATTACAATACAGAAGGTTCCAGTACACCACCGTTGTTATTGGTATTAGGATACGCGGTTGGCGTTCAGGTAAATGTTATTTACGTTGGAACGAAATACATTTTTTTTATTTATTGATGTTTAGCATATCCGCTTCTTTCATCGGATTTAAGTTCTTATTCAACTGTAACAGTTACTGATTTTTGTAAACGCAGGTATGGCTGATAGCAGCAACGGGAGAGGCAACGGAGATCCTATCATGGCGACAAGGCGTGGTTCGTATTCTTCGAATTCTACCAAATCCAAAGACTGACGACGAACATGTCGATGAATTTGAAGCGAAACGGCCGATGGTAGCGGTCTGCTCTGAGCCGGATTCAACTCTTCCGGGACCAAAATTTTGCGACGTTAATTTCATCTCCTTGAAAACCGGCGAGTCAATACACAGCGTAGGATTCAAGCATTCTGTCTGCGACGTGTTGGCGAACAGGCGATCCGTGGTTATAACGTTATTAGAAAAAATTGCGGTCTTCGATGCTAGAACATTGCAAAATAACATAACAATCACGACTTGCTATGCCAGTCCTGGCCCGAATCCAAATCCCATCGCTTTAGGAACGCGATGGCTCGCTTATAGGTATAGAATTTAATTCACATTTTATCTTGCTTTTTCTAACTAATTTTAATACTTTACATAGGTAACGTTATACGTTTTATTAGATATGGGCTAATCACTTTTTATTTGCAGCGAGAAAAAATTAATACCCGCAAGAAGAAGCAGCGGTGGTTGCGAAGGGGAAGGCGTTCAGAGTTATACAGCGACGGTTTTATATGCAGCGAAATCGCTAGGGAAAGGTCTTCGCGGATTAGGGGAAACCGTAGCGTCGAGTCTCACGGGGAATTCAGTGTCGCCGATGGCTATCAATAACGCGGGCAATGACGTAACGCAACCAGGTGTCGTTACAATATTGGATCTTCAGATCGCGAAAGACGAGAAAGAGTTGGATGACACTAATGCGGATGCTGTAATTGCTCATTTTACTGCTCACAGCGACGCGATCGTTGCCATGACTTTCGACTTAACCGGCGCGTTATTGATGACAGCGGACAAGAGAGGACATGACTTCCACATATTCAGAATCCAGCCGCATCCTGGCGGATCAACACTAGCGGCGGTGCATCATTTGTATATTTTACATCGTGGCGATACTACCGCTAAAGTACAGGTATATTCCTAACATTTTTACTGTTTATCTTACATACTGCAGTTAAATTATATTATTATTGACATGATATAAACAATAATAAGATTGAAAAACCGCTAATGTTAAACATAATGCTTTAAATTAAGAAGCGCCATAACGGTCAGAACGTTAAGATGTTGAACTATTGTAAATTCATTTAAATGAATTAATTTCAGAAATTATAATTGCGTGCCGATATGGTTGTCGGACTTTCAACGCAATCAAATCTGAAAATATTATAATCCTCCCAAATTTCCCAACTTAAAAACTAATAAACTTATTGCGAAAAATAATGCCTCGGCCAGGAGTCGAACCCGGATCTCTTGCATTCCGTGCGAGCGTCCTAAGCCTTTAGACCACCGAGACCTTAGCATTATAGTTTATTACAGTTTTTAAGTTGGGAAATTTGGGGGGATTATAATATTTTCAGATTTGATTGCGTTGAAAGTCCGACAACCATATCGGCACGCAATTATAATTTCTGAAATTAATTCATTTAAATGAACTTACAATAGTTCAACATCTTAACGTTCTGACCGTTATGGCGCTTCTTAATTTAAAGCATTATGTTTGACATGATATAGGTATAAGACATTTCATACAATTTGTAAAAAGTAAAAAATAATGAACTAATCGAAATTATATTAAAATATCTATCAAAATTTAAGATACATATATTTATATACAGAAAAAGTTCTTTGAGCTTATATAAAATTATTTATCAGGGAATGGAAAGTTATTTTTCAAAAGTAACTAGTTACTGTTATTTGTTACCGAGTCAAAAAAGTAATTGTGGTTACCATTATTAGTCGCTGATTCTCAAAAGTAACTCGTAAAATGTTCACTGATGACGGCCCATAGAGGAGTCGAAACGTTTGGATTAGAATAAAGTACCATTTGGAAAATATCCACATTTTCAAAATATAAAAAGTAACCATAAAAGTAACTATAAAATTCGTTACAGTTACCAAAAGAAAAAGGTAACGCAGTTACCAGTCCTTTACCAAAAAGAGTTGTAATGGTAACGGCGTTACAAGGAGTTACTTCTATTTCTTGGTATTTACAGTATTTTTATTGTATCAGGACATGGTATTTTCGAGCGATACACGTTGGGCCGCTATTTCAACCGTGAGAGGTACAACGCACGTTTTTCCTGTTGCACCTTACGGAGGTCCTGTTGGCGTCAGGACACATTCCACACCCAATGTCGTCAATAGACTATCAAGATTCCATAAAAGTGCAGGCTTGACGGACGATGGTACCCGATCCCACTCTCCTGTGTCTCATACCGAACTACCTTTATCTGTATATCCATATTCCAATCCTCGACTTCCTCCGTATCCTCATCCAACGATATTACATCCTTTGTCACAAATTCGACAACCATCTTCTCTAAATCAAATCAACAGCTCCACACAACCGAGGTAATTACTGTTTTGTAGAAAACTAAAGTTTCACGGTGAACTAACAATAAAGGTGTAATTAAAAGATACCATAAATTTTATTACAGACCACAACAAAGACAACGATTACATTCTGACGATAATGGGACTTTACCGTTGAAGATCTGCGCGTGTTTCGCTCCTCCAAGAGCTTGGATGTATGCGCAAAGGGAATCCAGTAGCAAGGTTGTCAAAAGAGCAGTCGATTCTCTTTTCATCATGGCATGTCACGGAAACATGATACAATATGACTTGGATCCTAAACCAGCTGCTGGTATATTAAAGAGAGAATACACTTTATATATTTTTTTATAAAAGAGAAATCAGATGATTTATATTATCTAAAATTCTTTTTTTGCGTGTCATCTAATGTTTGCTTTTATTTATTTTAGGTGTGCCAAAGGAAAAAGTTTGCGACGACACCACGATTGAATTGGAGGTCGAAGCAAAGGGCCAGTGGCCACTTTGTAGGTCCCCTAATTCGTCAGATCTTGTCCCACCGTTATCTCTGTCGAACCCATTACTTAGCATTTCGTTCGCACCAAAGAACAATCAGGAATTTGACACGATCGAGGATCGTTGGTTGAGTCAAGTGGAGATCGTAACCCATGCTGGACCACACAGACGATTGTGGATGGGACCACAATTCGTTTTTAAGACTTACAATGCACCTAGCGGGTTGGTTTTTCAATTTTTGTCAATTATAATCATGATCTCACTGATCGAAAACGAAAATTAATCGTTTCTAGTGTTGCTGTCAATCTGGTCGAAGCGGAGGCAGTCGAGATTGGAATTACTGGGTCGCGTCCAGCGAGATCGAAGCCCGTTAATATGCCTCATGCGGCGTCTAGACCGTTAATGCCAGTTGTCATCGATGGATCAGGAAGTGAGTGTGCAATAATTACACTATTTTAAAAAAAAATAGTTTTTTTAATTACTTTGAATTAGATAAGGTGTTTCTTATAAATTTTTGGATTCTGAAAACGGTGCCGCAAGTTAAATTTTACTAGCACGTTAGATTTCTGAAATAATTGAGATTTAAATATGCAAAAATGGTATTTATGCACTTATTTTTTTTTTTTTTGTAAAAAGGGTCAACACCAAGTTGACTCGGATTCGAAGTAATTTTTTTTATTGTAAACTAGTGTTATCTGTATAAATATGTAAATAGTTTTGTTAAATTGATTATATTTATAAGAAGATAAGATTTATTATATTTTCAGGCAGTTATGAGCAATCGCCAAGATTCATGGAGGCTTATGGTGATCCTCTAGACAGCGAGAACGTGGCCGTTGGTAGCTGCGAGAGTCAACTGAGAGAGGATCTTGCGGAAGCTATGCTCGAAATATCAATTGCATCGCATCGTGCTCCAGGTAAGTACGCAATTATGCAACAAAGTTTTATATTTTAGTTGAAGGCACCTATGAATGCAGGTCCACTTAGTCGTAATATCATTAAAACGACATATTCTGTGTAATTTGTGCAAATTATTTATATTTCATATATTTGCCCAATGATTTTGTACAATACTACAACTTTTGTACAATTTTTATCTCTTTAATAAAGAGTAAAGAATTATCTTTTATGTTATTTTTTGTCATTGTAGAGGAATAATGTGGAAAAGATATTAACGGTATTTTATGTTTTTATGTTCATTGTTACCTACTTTGCCTGCATTCTACATTACCACGTACGTTTTCTAACAAGAACACAGTGTGACACAGTGAATCATTTCATCCTTGTTTTTGGCAAACAACAAAGATGTAATGATTCATTGTGTTAGACTGATATTACATTTGTCGTACGTCAAATTTTTTAAGCGTGTTAATTGGCTGTGGGACAGAAAAATCCAAGAACCTCTTTGTCCTGTAGCCAATTAACGGGCTTGAAAAGTTTGTCCTACCACAAAAAACGGATGTAATATTAACCTTATATTTCCTTGTTGGAGAACGCCCCATACTGTATAATCATTGTATTTGTTCTTTTGACGATTGTAAAATATTTTCATCAAACAAATACAATTTTTTACATTGTGAATATACATATACGATTTCCCGAATCATACATATTATATACGCAAACATTTATATGTACATATTTATATATATAAATCTTGGAAATACAGTCTGATAATTATTGACGCAACGCTGAATAGGCAGAGTGGAACTAAACCGAGTCGAAAAATCCTGTATCATTTTGCCATTTTCGCAATAATTTAAGGGATGTTGGCGTGACGGCCAAATTCCGACGGAATTACTGTTTTACTGATTAAATGCTACTTACACACATACGATTTATTGACCTCCTTTTATTACCCGGAGGCCTGGAGCCAAAAACAAAAGAAGAAGAAGAAGTTGCCGACTCATTGTAGAATTCCGGTCAGTTTTAATCTAAATAGGTGATTATGATTTTTCGCGTCCACAACTTGTTAGTTGTACAGCGAATCGTTTAGCTCAACTAATGGGAAGGAATAAAATCGAATTTGGCCAGTCTTAAGAAAATCGGTAGTCTTAATCGTACAAGTTGGTTGATGACCAATTTCACCGATTTACTGATAAGACTTAGGACTATCGACTCATTGTAGAATCAGCATTAAGGGAATCCTAAAGATGATTAGTCATAGTGTAAGTAGGTACTATGGTACCCGGATATCACTCCTCGAGACACGCGAGTAATACCCGGGTACTCAGGTACTCGGACCGTATTATCCACATGTTTGCATGATGAAATTCCGCGTTTTGTATTATACATAATTATATAATATACAAATGAATAAGTAGAGACGGTTTTGGCTAGATCTTGGTGCCTAATAACATTTTATACATGTATAGTATTTTGCTTTGTAGAAACCGAAAATAATCATTATAGTAACACCAAACGTAAAAAAAATTGATACATTGAAATAAAATAAATAAAATCCTTATTTGTATCGTTATAAAATCACTGTCAGTTATGCTTCAATAATTTATTTATGAAATTAATTCCAAATTTGATCAAATATGAATAATATTGCACCATAAAACGTTAATTAGATTATATTTTACATTAATAACATTTATCATCTCGTTACCGTTTCCTCCACTCAAGCGTCGCACATCGCTAGACATATTTAATATTTCCCAAATATACGGATTTAAATTTGCGAAGTTTACAGGGTGTATAATTCGCGAACTTGCCATGACATTTGTGCACATATTTCGATTTACCGCTTTTTATTAGAAATATTGAGAAAAGATAAACAAAATTTTCTAAAAAAGAGAGTAAGAAAAATAATTATGCTTGGTAGCGTTTTGTGACGACGCTATCATGATATATTGATATCGAACCTGAAAGCGTATTCCAAATAGAGAAAAAAACGTTATTCGTAAGCAGATCTTTCCTATCTCTGTGATATGTTTAATGATGAGATCATTAGTATTATAAGTTTGCGTGACACAGAACTGGCCAGAGGCAGGTATCTCCATTTTGTTCTCGTAACTGTATTATATGTTCGAGCACTAACAGTAAGATATTTTGTTGACGTCTGCTCTTTGTATCTTTGGAGAAAATAAAACTTCCAACAAATGGTATTATGTACCGTTTTGTACTAACCATATAGATCCATCACATTTTGCTCGAGCTTCTAGCTTTATGTATAGCTTAGAATGAAACTTTTTTTACAAACACATGTGTTTCTCTTAAGTTTGTCTTGACTTGACCCACGCATAATTGACACGCGTGCGGTGTACGCAAATGCGGAATGTATTTAAAAAAAAAACGAAAGAATTAGACTATTCCTTTTCGTGAGACTCTCGAAATTTTATTTATCCAAGCACCGATTCCTATAGTTATACCACACTGAAAAAAAAGATTGGGGGGTTGCTGCAACAAATTAATAGATGGTAAAATATGGTATAGCATTTTTAATTGACTGCTCCAATCAATTAAAAATGCTATGCCATATTCAGCTAATCTTTTCTTTCAGTGCAAAACTCACTAGCGTTATATACACTTTCTTTAAATTTTGACGAATTTTACTGTGATTTTTTGTTTATTCGTTAACAGAGCGAAATCGTATTCATATAAGATATAATCCCGAGTATGCGCGCAAGCTATAATTATCACTGCAAAATAAGAAAAAAGGAAGAGAGAAACTTAAGAGAAAGAGAGAGAGGGGGAGAGCGAGAGAGAGAGAGAGAGAGAGAGAGAGAGAGAGAGAGAGAGAGAGTGTATGTGTAAAAGACACGCGTGAGCAACGACTCGTAATATTGATACCTGCCTACGGCTTTTCTGTTACTAGGGAGGCGTACGGTATTTGAGAGGGTGGGTCAGCCGGTAACTAAAGTCGTCAACCCTCACACCGGCACCGTGATTACCGTGTCGGCCGACGAGGATGGGGACGCTATTAGCTCCATACAGGAGTACGACTCCGCCGCGGAGGAGATGCACGCACCTAGAAGCGTGTGCGCCGAGGAGGGTCCGGCCTCGCTCGGTGCGGTTGATCTCCCAGATGAGTCGGACAGCCGGGCGCTGAATCGCAAGCTCACAGAGATCTGCGCGGAGATGCGCTCGGCAAGCGAGCCGGCGATCAACAGCGTGCCTGATGAAAACATATGCGAGCTACAGGAGCGTCGTGCTCTATGCGCGGAGATGGCGGCCACGACGACGACAACAACATCAATCGACTACGAAAAGGAGGAGGCGTTCTGCGAGGTGCCGACGAGTCTCAGTCTGTGTGCCCAACCAGGTGAGATTCCGAGCAGCCCTATGACACAGGCGAAAGAGACCGCGTTATGGTGCAGCAAGGGAAGATCTACCGATAGTCGTACTGAGGACTATCGTAGCGAGGCTCACGAGAGGCATCTCGCCAAAGCCAAGTACGTCGTCAGCTACGACGATGATAGCGTTACGCTAATGGAGAACAAAACGATGCGAAGCGATAGAAATATCGAGATATGGCAGCCGAACTTAGATGAAACAGTCAAGAGACCTGTCGCGAGAAGAGCCGTCGTTGATTCCGAAAGAATCTCAAGTTCCGGTACCACACAGAAACGCCCAATTGAACAGCGGATGACGCGTGCGGAAAAATACATTGTTAAAGAGGACGATGATAATGTCATCATCGAGGACGCGCGACGCATGGATTCGACGATGAGTGTTGATGTGAGGAAAGAGGAAACTGACACTGATAAGAAGAGAGTCGAGAACGCAAGAGATATCAAAGTAGCGAGAAACAAATATGAGATGATACGCAAAAATAATGAATGGAAGAGTCATGGTTCTCTAGAGGAATTCACCGATAAGAATCGAGTTATGCTCAAAAATAGAGAAATTAAACGCACAAGAGAGGTATCTTCTGATAGGTATATTGACTTGTCCGAGCCAATGGAATCGATTGCTGACGTAATTGTGAAGAGAGAAAATCCTGTAAAACCCGTCTTGGATGTGGAAAAAAATGTGAGATTGCTATTTGATCATTACAATGAGTATGATAATGATAATGAGTTGCCATCGTTGGATCCACCTCCGCTGGATGATTTCAGTTCCATTGAGTATCACATGGTAGAGCCATGCAATCTTGGCAAAGACGTCGCTTTGACGTCCACTCAATCCGACGACGACATCGAGCACATCCACGAGTCTGAGGTGATGCAAATGCGGATGAAGGCTGACGCGGATAATGGTAGGTGCAAAGATTCAGGTGTGACCGTCAACACGATCGCGCAATTTTCTTCTCCTGTGACGCGACGGAAAAGCAGCAAGAGCACGATTTCGGACGATGATCTGGAGTATATACACAACGTCGACCTCGGTTTTGAATCCACAAATTCAGGCGATGCCGGTACAACGACGTCCTTGACAAAGGCGAGCAATAACAATTCGCGTAGAAGGCATAGTAGGCACACGTTGTCCTCTGATGATGATCTGGAGCACGTTCAACTCTCGGAAGTCCATGAGTTGGAACTTGACGCGGTGGCGAGATTGTCGCAGAAAGAATCTCTGCAGGCGACCCAGGAAATGACGTCAGTGGAGCAGCAAGGAGCGAAGTCTAAGTCTGGCAAGAGACGAAAGGATATCATGGTGATTGAGAAAAACAAGGCAGAGGCCGCAGAGGTCACTGTAATATATAATCCACTGGAGGAGGTCTGGTCGAGGTCGGAGGAGAGCGATAAACGCAGTTCCACTGATTATTTTAAAGATAAGCCGGAGGGACCGTATCCAAGCCCCACAAGAAGGGCTAAAAATCGGGGCTCAAAGATGATAAATTTCTCATCTTCGCTGCTACCTGCCAAGCGGGCTTCTCAGACTACCGATAGCGACATCGTTGAAATTATCGACATCGACGCGATGCAGAATTCCGATACGACGCCAGAGTGCAAGATTCTACCTGTCATTGCCGGGGCGCGCACTCGGAAATCTCGCAAGAGCAAGAAGTCGCAGTCAGACGGCCAGTCACAAGAGAACAGCTCGACGGAGCTCTCTATCTCTGTCCTTTTGCCTTCATTCTGTTCCTCTAATGTGAAAATGGCGGAACTGCAGGAGGCCGTGCAGGAAGCCGTGCGGGAAGAATCGTTTGTGGAGCTCTGCTCCAAGGATCAGGACTCAAAAGCTCTACCTTTAGCAGAGATATCCTGGAGCTCTATCGTCAAGAAAAGCATCTCTCCTTCCTCGGATTCGCAGGAAACCCGCAAAGAAACGGATCTCGAGCCGTTGATAGAGGTGGAGGAGAAACTAGAGGCCGACGAACACGCGAAGAAGCTGGAGGAAGCGGAATTCTGTGGCAGAGACAATCCTACGTTCCTCGAACCTGTGGAACCTGTGGAACGCGTGATGTGTGAACATCAGAGTACGCGACAACGAGCATACAAAACTGAAAAAGAAGAACAGGAGGAGAAGGAGTTTCTTTTCGATGAGAAGGATGACATCGACGTGATGGCGACGATAACGGCGAAGAAGAGTATCCTCGTAGACTTTCACGCACCTATAGACGAAGAACCTTGCGTGGACAAGAATATCGCGCGCGTTACGACCTCTATAGCGCGAACCAAGATCTGTCGAGACAAGGGGGATAACAAAGCGACGGAAGGCAGTCCTCTTTTCGCCTCGGAAGTACGATCCGTCGTCAACGAGACACGTCGAGGTAACGTGGCAACCGAGAGGAGAGAATCGCAAAGAGAATCTTCTTTGCAGCTTCAACCGATGCAGCGGCAGCAGGTAGGGATCGGTGACAACGACAGCACTACCGGGACGTCCGAACGGTACGATACGGCTTTTTCGAAGATGTCCCTGGAATGCGATCGTGGGTACGCCGAAAAACGGAACGAAGCGGACCGCGAGGCGCCTGGCGAGCACTCAATCGCCGCCAAAAAGGCGAGCAACAGATCTAAGAGGAAAAAACGCAGATGAGTAGAGGATTGCTGCATGGACGTGCCTAGGGCCAGCCTTGCTCTTTACATACTCCTAATGCAAGTGACAGGAGTAGATTAGCGTTCATACGTAACGGAATAAGATCACATCGAAGTCCGAGCGTTCCGTGCGCGATCTTGAAGAGCTATTTCGCATCGGGTAGCGTCGAACGGCGTTATAATGCTGATAAAGCCCATCTTTACTTCGTGTAATACGCTATCGATTTCCAAGAATTCGTTCCTGACACGAAAATTAATGTTTGAGACTATTGCAATCATCCAACAGAAGACTTGTAAGTGAAATCGAAAGCGTGTCGCGCCATATATATGTGAATATATTTCAAAATCGCGTTTCGTGTGGCCCTATTCTCGTTTCAATTAGTAATTGATATCAAAAATATACGCGCGAACGGATATTGTGTTCGGGCGAAATAGCGGGCAAGGTTGTGTTCTAGCCGATATTAGGACGTTATTAGACGCTTTGACGCTAATTCTAATTGGGGCGTAATAGAACTAACGAAAGAACTCCCAGAACAGGATCGCGTTTCGCCATCTGAGATACAATCGTGTAGCAATTTCAATTTGACTGCCTTAGATCGTAAAGCGGTGATGGAGCTTGGATTGTACGTGGTGCAAACAAATTGCGTGTATCTATGTTTGCCCATTATCGGTAACATAATTATTTAGTGCAATTAACGACGCGTGATGAGCGTTTTTGGCCATTAGGTGTTCATTTACGGGATTGATCTTCTAACTAGCCCTATTCTCAAACGACGATGATCATCCGGTATACAATAGGCCATATATTCGTTGGAGTACAAACATCTTTTTTAAATTCATCCAGCTTTCGTTTACTGCCTACGGATTATATTTCTCGTCGAGCGACGGTAGTATACACAGGGGAATTTTATTATCAAGTTGAAAAGGTTTTTAATCATAATACTCTGTACACACAAAACACATACACACATACAATTTGGAATGACTATAATCTGAAACGATTATAAATACTTTAATTGTTTATTTAGCTGTACATATTGTCTTCGTGCACTTTTGTAACGCTTATTTGTTTTCGAGGACATTTTAAAAAAAGGACTGTATATCATTGATCATTTATACGTAGTTCAGTATTTCCTGATAAATTATTGACATAATAACAATAACGATAGTAGTGATAGGACAGAAAAGAGAGAACATAAGAGATCCATTTTCACTGTAATTCTTTAAGACGATGTGTTCTACATTCTCGAACCCGTTCATCTTTACACAAACCACGTCTGTTCAAACGTTTACAAAAGTATTGCTTTACCCACGTTTAGACACAGCTAGATATTGAAAAAGGTACTCTGTTTGAAACTGTGTTCAGAATTGGGAAATTTAGGCAACGCAGTGCGAGCATCACAAAAACGGCGACGTTGATGATGTGAAGGATAAAGAGTCAATATTTTTCTTATAAATAATCTAAATAATGGATATAATTCCGGACACTTCGGCCATTTCAAAACTTGTCTTTAGTCTAACTAAATTTCATTCTCTCTCTCTCTCTCTCTCTCTCTCTCTCCCTCCCCCTCTCTTCTCCCCTTTTCTTACTCTTTTCGTCTTTCTCTTATAATTTTTCTGTTTTTCTAAATTTTATATACTTTCTTGTTTCTTTACCCAGAAAAATTACACGCTGTCTACGAGGAAAACTCAACTTTTGTTATTTTGAGTAGCTGACTTTGTAAGATTATTACGTTCTTTTGTTAATTTTTCCATTGATTTGCTTATTTTTTTTGCAAAATTATTAGTTTATTTAATTCATGTAACGTACGTTGTATTAGTTACGAAAATGTAAGAAATCATGTAAAGTAATTTGGCGCAATCATATTGTTAACCGATTAAATTTATTATTGAAACAATTTACTACATTGCTTGATACAACCTACGTTTAGAATTCATACCATTAATGTTAGCGCAATTTGTTAGTATATATCATGTCAAATGAAAATCGTATATCAATATCTTGTAGAAAAATTCATTATTAACAAATCATCGCGTATCATATTTTATTATTTAACATTTTATTCTCTTTGCTTTATTTTTTAATGAGGTATTATCTGCAATTTATCTTCAGATTTAAATTATTCACAAATTCCAATTGAAGAGTTGCTTATATGCTTAATTATTGTAATATTTTTCTTTCTGAGTCTTAATTTTTTATAAACATCTTGCATATATGGATGTTTAAAATGAATTACAAAATGAATTTTAAGAATTTATTAAGGCGAAGGATGTATTAAAAGAGAAAAAGATCAAAATATTAAGTTTTTTTATGTAAAAGTACTAGTTTATTTTTTTTACATTTTGAGCTATATAAAACAATTTTTTTATATGTTTGAGCCACTGAAATATAATAATACTGGAATGAGCGTGGCTCTATGCCATCTTTATTAAGAGTGATCCAAGAGACAGCGTTCCAAGTGATATCTTAGTCCTTTTCTAAGCTATACTACGCATGTGCAATAGATGGTAGTGGAACTTCTACGATCTCGTAAAGAGTTAAAGTTTAGTGATATATGTATAGGTAAGCGAATATGTATATAAATTGTGGGGTGGACATCACTTCGCGTGGAAGTCGAAAACTCATGTGAAATAGTATTGTACAATTATAGACTTCGTTTCGCCTCGTTAAGCAGTAAACTTTTTTTATTAATAACTTATTAACAAGTAACAAGCACCAACTAAAATCTGTTAGAGGTCACTCAGGGTCACGACCTTGACAACATATGTCAAGGTCAAGGTCATCGAAGATGAGTTCCCTATTGTAAATATTAACCTCATAAAAAATTGCAGTGTCATTATCAAATTGTTATTATAAAAAGTAACGGAAAAGTAACAGAATATTAATTCTCTTCCCTGCTAAAAAAAATTAATTTTTTTTTAACAAAATATCAAATTGTATAGAATTCAAATCTGTAAGCGAAAAGAAATTTTGGTAACAACATCAAAAGTTATATCCAAAAAACGTAAATGAGAATTTTGTAAAAAAAATTTGAAAAAGAATATTTGTTTTAAAAACCATATCTTTGCGAAAAAAAACTAAAAAACCAAACTATCATTTTAGAAAGAAAAAATCATGAACTTTTAAGAAGAAAAATATGTTTGGTTTTTAAAAGTATAATTATTTTAATAGATATAAAGTTGAAGTATTTTGAGAGAATGACATCATCATCGAATAGTACGCTCTCAATAATTCAATGGCTTTCTTTTCTGAAAATATCTGCAATTTTTATTTTTTTTTCGAACATATCCTCTTAATAACTTAAATTATATATTTTTATCACTGTACCTTACGCAGTATAAGTTTTATTACTCATTTTTTTTTTAATTTTAATGTAACTATCCGGATTGTGAAAAATGACATTTTTACAATCTGATTGGATAGCTGGATAGGCTAGATAGTCTGAATCGCACGTATTATAAAAAAGTGATCCGATAGTTGCTGGATATTCGGCATATCCAGTATAAATCAACAAAAAAAACATTGAAACAAAAAATGTTTTACATTGAAGTCATAAGATTCTAGAAATGCTCATATACATTAACTTCTAGATATTTTGTACAGATGACATCTGTAAAGAAAAATAATAAAAACCCCGATAACTAAACGTATCAGCACGTTAGTGCATGCTATGCTCAGCACATCATGCAAGCACTATTCTGTTACTGTGCTATTTTCTGCCAATAAAGCAAATGATATTTGCATGGTACTGTCACTAGTCACGACATACAGTCAAAATTTTAGGATTGATTACTGGCTTTTTACAAGTACAATGTTCGCACAGCGCGCAGATCACGATGTGCTGTCAGTATACTTGTCAGGTACGGAGTTAGCTGAACATCGTAGTGACAAGATTTACTGCACAAGTGCATGTATTATGCTGGCGTGCAAATATTTTGTTATTTGGGAATATGTGGCATTACTACTTACTATGTCAATTTTGGGGTTTATTTTATTATTATTTTTATCTTACGAATAAGTTAATTATTGCAAAATTCGAAACAGTATTATAAAAACAGTACATTATAAAAATTAATTATATATTATCTATAGAAGACATTTTCTAGTTTGTATTTATGTGTTCAAAGTTTTATTTTTTATTTTTGTTAAAGAAATATAATCCAAAAACAAAAAGTGTAACAGTATTAACGAATAATAACAGTATTAACGAATAGCGAACGACAGCTAAAACCTGTTGTCACCTGTTGTCATGACCTGAGGTCACTCAGGGTCATGACTTTGACAATATATATTAAGGTCAAGATCATCGAGGCGAGTTCCCTCCATCGTTATATTTGCCGAACATAATACTTTTTATCGCAGATTCTGTTTCTACGTGAAAAAAGCATGAAGCTTTTTACTAAAAGCAGTAGACAAAAATTAAAGAAACAGCTTTCAATTAGAAAAAAAATTGTGAACAGCTTGAAGGATGCTTTCTAATTAGGCAAAACATTATAAATGTATGACTTCTTGTTTTCTAATAAAAAATTAATAAAGTTATTCAAAATCAGATTGTATACCATATAAAGAGGTATTTTATAACTGTTGTAAATTAGCCGTCGTGGATATGCTAGTAGAATAAATAAAACATCCATCTCGTAACTTTTGACTTGTTAGTTCTCGGTTCAAAATCAAACGCGATAATCTTTTTTTTTTTTTAAATTTACTCGGATTAAATTAATGAAAGCTGTTTTTCTAGTTTTTGTTGACTTCTTTTAATATAAAAGTTTTATGTTTTTCCGCGTAGAAATCGAATTTGCAAATAAAAAGTACCATGTTCTATTAAAAAATCGACTTCCGTTCTGAATTCCTATTCCCGTTTGGTATCGAAAATTGAAAATATCGTTTGATACACCATTTACTCATCAAAAGTTTTCAGACGTTTTGTAAAAATAACTTCCCTTGTTTGTAAATGAGTGATACGAGTTAGTAACTGATTTTGAATAAATATATAAAATTTTTATATTAGAAAACAAGGGGCCATGCACTCATAATACTTTGCCTCATTAATATCCTTCATGGAATTCACAGAATTTTTGTTAATTAAAAACTGATTTTCAAGTTCTTGCCTACTCTTTGTCAGGTTAAATCAGTATACAACAGCTTTAATATGCATCAGTGCATACTAGCGTGTCCAATTGTATTCGCTGTAAGTCCTTTTCTCTCTCTTCTTATTCCTTCGCATTTTCGAAACGCCGAAGTGGCTTATACAGGCGTGTGCTTGATGTGTAAAAATTTCGAGGTTCTTTCTATTACACGCAAAATAGAAAACGGGGAGGAAAATATGAAAAAGTATGTAAAACGTGTTTAACATTGCCGAAGGTGACGCATAAAAAAAGTGTGTAAGCGTGTGTGTAGATACATATAATTACATTTTTTGTATATCGTAATTAGCGATAAAAAAAAGAGAAACAGGCAGGTGTGCAATAGAGTATCGAAAAAAAAAAAACGATTACAAATACAATAAACTGAAAAATTTAAGTAGGAAAAGTATGTTGAAAGAGGCGAATCTTTCATTGATTAAGAGATCAACTATCATCAATTTTAATTGAGACTGGGGAGTGTAAAAGGTGAATCACGCGAGAGGCATTCACAAGCCTCATTATCGTCCAACTAATTATCAGCATTGAAATAACATAAGTTTCTTTCAGGAGACAAATCCCCGATAAAAAAATCGACTGTTCCGCTATTATAACAAATAAGTATATGTTATAAGTACAAAGTGCAGGATAGTTTACGATGTGTTATATAATCGCCTCGTGAATTAGAAAAAGAAAGGGGAAAGAAATACATTTTAACCAGCGGTAACTGGATCTGTGCCATGTAATACTAACCAGTGATGGATTGTATGGATTGTACGGAGAATACCGTATTTCTGAACGATAGTGCATTCACGGGAAAAAAATATTATTGGCGTTAGCTAACAGCAATTTAAATTGAAAATAATTTTGATAATTCAATAACTGTATTAATCTATTAAGTCCCAGGTGACCTCTGCGCGCATGAGCAGCGCTTTTGATCTAATATTCGTTTAACCGCATATATATTGACCTAAATATTGTCAGGATTGGCAAATGTTACTTTCCAGTTACTTTGTCGCTACTTATTATAGTAAACAATTTGATGACGATGTTGCAATTTTTTATGACGGTAACGCTGATTAACTAAACGCTAAGGTTGTACTAAGGTCAGAAAAGTCACTTTGAAAAGTAACTTGTCACTATTATGCGTTAACTGAAAAAGTTATAATTATAATAAGTAACATTATTCGTTACTAAAAAGTAACGCGTTACAAATTAGGAGTTATTTTTTTCAGTAACGAATAACTTTTTCAATCCATTACAAGTAAGGATTGACTTTTCTAACTCTGATGTTAGCATTATCATCATAAAAAATTCACAATTTCATTACTAAATTGTTATTATAACAAGGTAACGATCAACAAAGTAAACGGCGTTACAAGTAACGCGTTACTTTCCAACCATTATATTCTTGTTCAATTTTTTCAAAGCCACTTTTCAGT